CGAAGCCGCGCATGGCTGCTGCAGCGCGGTCAGGATTTGGAGGCAGGCTCGGACGTAAGGGCAGCTAGCAAGACTCACTCTGTTGTGACTATACTCGATCACACTCAAGCTGCCCGGCCGACGGACGACCCTTAGCTAGCTGCTCGCGCCCATGCGAAGTAGTGAGCCGAAGCTGACAAGCGTAGGGAATTCGCGATTGACCTCAATTCCCCGACTTGCACGGCAGAACAATCACGATTCATTCGTCAAGAGTGATCCAGCAGGAGCTGCTTCTACGCGCACTCCATTCCATTCACTTGCCCTTGGTCACGATCGAGCAGCAAGCAGACGAATGCTCTGGGCAGAGTGAGCTAAAGACAAACAGTCAGGCAGGGTCCAACAAGCCTGAAAAACCTTCTCGCTTAAAGCTGAGGACGAGCAAGGCTTCACTTGATGCCGATCCGATCGTCACTAGTCACGAGTCGATCTTTTCATCAGCTGGAAGAGAAAGAAACGCCACGGTCGTCATTTGATCGCTTGATTCTGGAGGTGCAAACTTGGCCGCTGGATCAAAAAATCGATCATTGAGATATGAGATCATCAAGTCAGCGCGCCAAGCCACAACGCGGGGATCGCCGCGCGCGGTTGCGCTTTTGCCGAAATTTGCAATCACAAATGTCATGCACCGGACCAACCTATCCGTCAAACCCTCAAGGCCAAAATTCACGTTTGGGCTTGTGGGGAAGAGTCTCCGCGCGAGTTTACGCCAGGCAGTCTCGTTCTCCGGCCCACACGGGCGCATCTGTCAAAGGCATGGAAGGCAAATGGCATTTGCATAGATTGTACGAGGAACATGCAAGCCTCACAAACCCGTGAGCCCCGGAAATGTGCTATTAGAAAAATACGACAGCTGTGATGAGGTGATCCTCTAGACATCTCTTCCAGCTCGACGACTTGCATTGCCAACGATGCCTTCTGCAACAGTAGCCGATCTTGCAATCCCACCCGTGACCGCTCCTCTCTCATGAGATGTGACCTCGCTAGGTGTTGCGCCATCGACATCACGGGCAGCAATGTGACGAGCGGCGTCGTGGAAGAGCTTCGCCTCGTTTGCCCTTCTAGGATCCGCATGGGCGCCGACCCTTCCCCAACCAGGCGCTCCTCTGCTCGCGTTTTGTTGCCACTGAGAGACGAGCTTCGAGACGCCGCTGTAAGCTTCTGGAGCTGCGTCTGATTGACCGGGTTCGCCAAGATGAGAGGCAGGTGAAGAGGCGCCCGAAGATGCGCCAGCTTGATTTCGAACAACCGACGATCGGTCAGCAGCCTCCCTCTCCACTGCCTCTCGCTCCCATGGCTTGAGAGGACCAGTCTTGACGGGGGCTTTCGACGCGGGCGCGGGTGCCAGAAGACGCTGCTCATCCTCCTGCCGCCCTGCGAAGCCTGGTAGCCGCGGGCCACGTGTGTGTGGCAGGGGCGGCGCGAGGTCCACAGAAGCGGGACGCTGCGATCCTCCAGTCAGGGACTTTTGTCGCTCCCTAACGAACCCAGGCGTGACCTTTGGCGCAGGACGAGCCTGGGGCTTGATGATGCGCGGCTCGGGCGTTCTGGACGCCAAGGCTTTCGAGCCCGTCAAGGGGCTTTTCTCTCCACGAGTTTCCGTCGCCTGCGCACTTGCTTTCGGTACCACTTCACTGATAGGTCGCGAGTCACTCCTCTGCGCAGGAAGCGGTGATGCTCTCGCATGTATCTCACGCTCAGCAGTCTCGACGTCCATGGCAGGGAATCGTTTAATGAAATCCTCGCTGCTGGCCGAGCTAGGGTCTGGATCGGCATTCCTTGCTGCTGACCGTGTCGCATCGACGGAGCTTTTGCTTTTCGCGTCGCTGTTGCCATTGACTTCGATTGCACTCTGGTCGGTTCGCGAGCTTCCATTGTCTTCAGATTGGCGAAGTGGGCCGGGTGAAGCCCTGGCCTTTTCAGTGACGGCAGCTGCCTGGCTAGAATTGTCCGAGATGCTGAGATTACCAAATTTGGCGACGGATGGACTGTACGGGCTGATGCCGTGGTCGATCGTAGTTGTCGGAAGGTTCGTGGAAGGGTACTCGGCCGAGGTGTGCCTGCTATTGCCCCCAAAGTCTATGAGCTTGCCAACTGCAGCGCTGACAGTGGACTTGGCTGCAGCCGTCGCATCGATCAGGCGTGATGTCCCCTCAGACTTGTCAAAAGGCATGGCTCGCTGCTCCTCGTCATCTTCGTCCCACGCCGGCGCTCGTGCCACAGCCGTTGTACCTGCTGCGGCCACTCGCTCCTCTTGACCTTCAGGACGCGGAGAAGGAGGAGCTTCTGCGGTCGGCGAGGTCGCGGTCGGTCTCGGTGAAGACGCTGCCGATGTTGGTGCTTGCAGTTTTGCTCCAGCATCACCTTTCAATCTGGACGTGTCCGTATCGCTGACCAGCCACGATGGAGCTTGCACGCGACCTGGCGCATGTCTGGAGACAGGCGTGGATTGAACAGATGGTGGAGATAACATGCTGACGGGTCTTCTTGCCGGTGCTGCGTCCTCCGGGCCTTCATCCTCTCCGCTCGAGTCCTCGCTGGTACGTCCCTTAGACGAAACCTCAACTGCAACGTCCTTCCCGAACCGTGCCGGTGAGCGATAAGATGCAGGTTCAGCAATTTCCACGGGGGTTGAAAGCTTGCTTTTGGCAGCATCTGCTGTAGACTCGTAGCTACTGGGAGCAGATGACCGGTCCTCGTTCGTGGCGTCGGCAAGCCAATCTTTCGGCATCGGCTTTCGAGCCGGCAAGCTCGGAGCCGCCGGCAGATCTTTGGGACTACGCGCGCTTCCACTTTGCTCCCACGTTGGACGCTTGCGTGCAAAGTCCGCAACCGAGTGACGA